TTTAATATACAATAAATTGGATAGACACAATCAAACATATTTTGGTGTCCAGCTTTTTCCCCATGAGGTTAAGAGCTTTCTTGTGTTTTACTCTGCTCCATTGTAAATAAATGTCTTTAACTATAACTACTGGTGTGTTTAACATTGCAAGAGCATGAATATTGCCAACCTCTACTTTGTAGAATTCCAATCCTTCAACTTTAACTTACTGTTGATATGGTAATTTGGTTATAGCTAATAAACTCTAATTGTTAATCAGAGTTCCAGATTAATGGTAATAAATTGAGACTGAAACCATATTGGCTATTTTGCCTATTGGTTTAGGCTGGTGCCCCGAGGATTTTAATTAATTTAAAGTTATTATTTAATATTAATATTTTTCTTAATTTATGATAACCAATAAATTGATAGACAAGCAAAATCCAACATATTTGGTGTCCAGCTCATGAGGTAGAGCTCAGACCCAACACTGGTAAAAAAGGCTGGTTCTGTGCTTGGATGGAGTCTGGACTCACTCAGGACTGTTGTGGAGAGACACATGCAATGTAAGATGGAGGCCATCTTGCACAATACCAACCATCTTCTCCAAAACATTCTGGCAGGACAGAGAAGCAGCTACAGGTACAGCAAACGTATCATCTCACTGCGCTGCAGAACAGAGAGGTTCAGGAGATCCTTTGTTCCTACTGCCATCAGGCTATACTACACCTCAGCCAAAGGAAGTGGACTAATTATTATTGTTTATTCATTATTAACTTTTATTATCATTATTATTATTATTATTATTATTATTATTATTATTATCATCAACAATGAGCTAATGGACACCTGAATTTCCCCTAGGGGATAAATAATCTATCTATCTATCTATCTATCTATCTATCTATCTGTCTGTCTGTCTGTCTGTCTGTCTGTCTGTTTGTCACAGCCTGCTCTGCTCCTCAGTGTTTTTCCACTGACCCTGCCTCCGTCTCACTCTCCACTCTACTACACCTCCTCATCAGCCTCACTGTCCTCACCCGTTGCCCCCAGCTGAACTCCATCTCCAATCAAGCCAGTATATATGGATCCCCAGTTCACTCACTCTTTGTCAGATTGTTCTTGGTACTCATGCAAGACTTTCCAGAGGTTTTCTATGGACTGTCTTCCCGGTTTCGACTCTGCTCTTCCCTGACCATCCTGCC